AAACGGAGTCTCACTCTATTGCCAGGCTGGAGTGCAGGTTGCTCACTGCAACCTCCATCTCCTGGGTTCAAGTGATTCTCCTACCTCAGTCTACCAGTAGCTGGGATTACAGGCACACACCACCACGCCTGGCTAACTTTTTATATTTAGTAGAGACGGGGTTTCACCTTGTTGGACCAGGATGGTCTCGATCTCCTGACCTTGTGATCCACCTGCCTCAGCCTCCCAAAGTGCTGGGATTACAGGCGTGAGCCAAGATGCCCAGCCCCTTCGTGCTAATTCTTTACATGAAAGAGCGCTTTATGGCTCACGGAGTGTTTCTGCATCCGTGATCTCATTTGATTCTCATGATACCTGTGGGTGGAAGTCAGTGCTGAGTTTACCCTGAGGTCTCTTGCTGGGCCAGAAGACATTTAGGATGCTCTGACTTAGCTCTCAAGGAGTCTGTTTGGGAAGATGAGTTTTTTAAGCAAATGAGTGAACCTTTGAGTACTGAACTGAGAGGGCCCATCCCAAAAGGGCAGGAGTTCTGAAAAGAAGCAATCATGAGGAGTTGGGGAAGTCCCAGATGGCTTTGATAAAGCAGATGGGTCTTGAGGGGGGATATTTGAAGAGCTTACATTCATTTATTCAACAGCAAGCATCAAGGCCCTTGCGAAAGCCCAGGGTTACAGTGATATAAAGGCAGATGAGGTGCTTACTGTCATGGAGCTGACTCTCTAGAATGGAAGAGAGACTGATAATAAACTAAATAAATGAACATGCATTCAAATAACAAGTGCTCTGGAACCAATAAAATGAGACTACTTTAGATGGTTAAGGAGGGCCTCCTTGAAGAAATGACTTTCAGACAAATAATCTAAGTCACAAGAAGCAGCTAGTCACTCTAGGATCTGTGGGCAGGGCATACCTGGCAGAAGCTGCCAGTGCAAAGACGAAGTGGTAATGTGCTAGGTATGTTGGAGGAACCGAAAGAAGGCTCCTGTGACTTGAGTGAAGTGGGTAAGCAGTAGAGTTGCCACATGAACTCAGGGTGAGGGCCTGGGTGGAACAGTAAGGAATTGCAGGTGTTGGAACAGCTCTGAAGCAGCATGGTTTAGCTCAGTGTCTAGCCAGGTTTACAGAAGCTCAAAGAGGTTGTCAGCCTTCAGAGGCAAAGTTTTCACAAATGCAGTGTGTTGATTAAAAGAACTACTCACCTGGCTAACATGGCGAAACCCTGTCTCTACTAAAATACAAAAATTAGCCTGGCCTGGTGACAGACACCTATAAGCCCAGCTACTTGGGAGGCTGAGGCAGGAGAATCGCCTGAACCCAGGAGACGGCAGAGGTTGCAGTGAGCCGAGATCATGCTACTGCTCTCCAGCCTGGGCAGCGGGAAGACTCTGAATGAATGATTTGATTAATAAAAGGCTCTTTAAGGCATGAGCCCTGCCTTGTGTGTTTCCTTCCATAGCCAGGATGGAGGTGTACAGAGGGACCTGACTCAAGTGCCCCTCCCTACCCAGCTGTACAACTGGGCCGCACCAGAAGTGATCTTACAGAAGGCAGCCACAGTGAAGTCGGACATCTACAGCTTTTCTATGATCGTGCAGGAGATTTTAACAGGTAGATCAAGATCATTAATGGTTGACCAAAGTCCCTATTCTTAGGTTGTATTTTTCTCCCCGCCAGGAGTTACTTACTTTTATGAAAGTAGAAGACTTATTAAAAAGAGATTCCTTGGCCAGGCGTGGTGGCTCATGACTGTAATCCCAGCACTTTGGGAGGCTGAGGTGGGTGGATCACAAGGTCAGGAGTTCAAGACCAGCCTGGCTAACATGGTGAAACCCTATCTCTACTAAAAATACAAAAATTAACCGGGTGTGGTGGTATACGCCTGTAGGTCCAGCTACTCGGGAGGCTGAGGCAGGAGTATCACTTGAACGTGGGAGGTAGAGATTACAGTGAGCCAAGATTGTGCCGCTGCACTTCAGCCTGGGCAACAGAGTGAGACTCTGTCTCAAA